CGAAATAAGTCAGGCAGAGAAGGACAAATAGCATATGTTAGCACGTATAGGAGGATTAGGAGGAACTTGACGGAGGAACAAGGGGGAGAAGAAGGGCGGAAATGGTGGGGGAAAGGGAGAGAGGCAAACCATGAGAGACTCTTGAATGCTGACAAAAACTGAGGACTGATGGATGTGGGGGGGAGGAGCGGATGGGCATGGAGGAGGACACTCGTGGGGATGAGCACTGAGTGTTATGTGGAAACTAATTTGACAATAAACTATTTGTAAAAAATAAAAAAATAAAAAAAAAATTAAAAAAATGAAAGTAAAAAAAAAAATTATTCAACAGTTGGAAATGACACATCTTCAATGTTATATGGAGTACTGTGGAGCAGGCCCACACCAAAATTAGTGAGTGGATCAGGCCCACACCAAAATTATTGATTCTCTACAGGGTGGTGTGCTTTTGTTTGATGTATCACTTGCTCTTGATTCAGGCCCAGGTTCTGTAAAGTTGGATCCTCCTTTGGATTGGTCAATTGCAAATGCTTTTTGGAAAGTAAAGATTGGGGTGATTTCTTGTCTAAGGAAAGAATAACTTCAAAGTTTATATCTTACAATCCTATAGGTAAGGTGACCAACTATTCCCATTTGCCTGGGGACTGAGAGACTTCCCAGAACAAAGAACTTTTAGTGCTCAAATCAGGACTCTCCTGGGTAAAGTCAGGCTGTTGCTCATCCAATCCATCCAACCCATAAGACACTGGCCAGTATGGGAGCCGACTTGACCATCTTCTTTTGGTGTGTTGTCTTTCACTGGCTAGAAATACTCTGGTCTCTCCCACAGGCCTCTGAACCAATTTCTCATACTGCTGTTCTGTCATTAATCATAAACAATCTAAACAAATAAAGCTAAATAAATCATTGACACACACTCTATATTTGTGTAAGAGTCATGCTGTTTAACTGTTTTAAATGAGCACTTTGATAAGAGAAGGGGTTTCTCTGGTGAGGATAAGTGGAATAATACTCTGCCAGAAGACCAGGCCTTGGGACTCTCCTGGAGCAGCCATTTCTATTTTTTATCCCTTCATTGATCCCCTCTCTTTTGAGCTGACAGATATGCTTAAGTCCCTTCCTTGCAGAGAAACAGCCTCTGCTTCCTCCCTACAGTGGTCCTGCCTCCTACTCTTCTCACTCAAGAGTGCAGTTGGATCCTTCCTAGCAAGAAGGAATCATCATCCTCTCATGACTCAGTTAAGGTCACTTTTACAGTCCAAATACAAGTGACAGTTTCCAATCTTGGACTTACTTAGCTTCTCTGTAATAAAAATTTATAGCTATCAACACCTGACAGTCATTAGGTACCTGATGTTCTTTGAGTCTTTGTTTTCATTGAGCATTTGATATTCTATTCCCCATTCTCTTGGCCACCTGGCCACTTAGACATCACTTGCTACTTCTTATTGATGGAACTAAATACCTTCTTGATATCACTCAAGTCTACATCCTTGCCATCACCAACACCAAGGCCTCAACTTGGGCCAGCTCTCCCTGTGACCTTGACCCTGAGCTCAAGACCAGAGATGAGATCAAGAGTCAAACGTTTAAGTGACTGAGTCACTCAGGCACCCCTGGATGTTATTTATGTCACTTTCCTAACTAAAAGCCATCTCTGGTGGTTCTGGATGACCTGTGGTTGTAAACCTAGCATGCATCCTGTTAGACAAATGCAGTTAACCCTTGAACAACATGGGTCTGAACTGCATGGGTCCACATACATGCAGATAGTTTTCAATAAATATAGTACATCACTGTAAATGTATTTTCTCTTCCTACTGATTTTAATAGTATTTTCCCCATAGCCTACTTATTGTAAGAATACAGTATGTAACAAATATAATAATCAAAATATGCATTAACTGACTGTTATGTTACCATTAAGTTTTGGGGGAGTCAAAAGTTTCATGCAGATTTTCAACTGCACTTGGGCTTGGTGCCCCTAACCCTTGTGTCATTCAAGGGCCAACTGTATTTATTTATAAATTACATATGTGTACCATTGTACTAACATATTACTTGTATTATAAAATCAGGTACAGAAGAAGAAATTCCAGGGGTGCCTGCATGGCTCAGTCAGTTAAGTGTCCGGCTCTTGATTTCGACTCAGGTCATGATCTCATGGTTGTGAGATCAAGCCCTGTGTGGGGCTCTGTGCTGACAGTGTGGGGCCTGCTTGGGATTCTCTCTTTTGCTCTCTCAAAATAAATAAATAAACTTAAAAAAATATATATATATCCCTTTAATAAATAAATAGATAAACACAAAAAAGAATGAAAGAATCAGAAATTCCCAACAAGATAACATTTACAAATTGAAGCGCTAATATTTTTTCCCTCCCCCACAGTGGAGGTTGTGTGCCCTTGCTCAGAGACCACAGACCTGCAGCAGTAAGTCCATGTCCATATGGCTCACTTTCTTTTTTCCATGTTTTATTTATTTCTGACTGTGAGAGTGTGAGCAGGGGAGAGACGGAGAGAGAGGGGAACAGAAGATCTGAAGTGGACTCTGCGCTGACAGGAACAAGCCCGATGTGGGGCTCAACTCCACAAACTGTGAGATCATGGCTCAAGTCAGTGTCAGACACTCAACTACCTGAGCCACCCAGGGACCCCTGACTTGCAGGTCTAGTCATGATCTGGCCCCTACCCATCTCTCTCCTTTCCTTTCATGTCCTCCCTTGCTCCTAGTGCTGGTCCAAGTGGAAGGATTTGAACTTGATGCTCCCCAAACCTGCCTGCTTTCTATTGGCTGTACCGTTTGTTTGGAATGCTGTCCCCTGCCTTTGCTCCCCAAGTCCCAAGCCCCTTTGTCTTATATATTCCTAAAAGCACTCCTTCTTCAAAAAACAGGGAAGCTGTTTTTTGGTTCCTTCTGCCTCCTCCATACCCCTTGTACATCCATGCACATCTTTTTCTTTGCAATATTATACAGTATTTCCCTCTCTGCCTAAAGTCTGTGAACTTTAAAAGAGTCTCGTTCACTTAGGAGTCCACAGTGCCTGATAAACAATAACAATGACGGTAATAACAGCTAATACTTTTATAGTATCAATTTTGCCAATCATTGCTTTAAGTGTTTTACACATATTTACTTGATTTAATCCTAGGAGATGGGTACAATTATCCCTATTCTGCAAACAAGGATACTTGGGCAAAGAGAAGTTGAGAAACTTCCTAAGGTCATTTATGTAGTATGCAAAGTTCAGGAAAGATTGAACTCAACTGAACTCTGTGCTTTTTCAATCACACCTGTGATGAGAGAAATAGTCACCCAGGCCAGATGGGCAAGGAAACGCTCAGGCTGAGGAAAGGGGAGTCTGGCGAAGATACCCAGCCTGAGGATGCACTGCCCCCTGCTGGCCAGCTCTGCCCTTGCTGCAGGCTTAACAGGGTCAGAAGTCCCCTCTGCCACCGCAGCTAGAGCCTGGAGTCTGGGGACCAGCACAGGATATTCTGAGAGGGAGAGGGAGCCAAGAGATCATGCAGGGAATATGCAGGAATTGCCTCTTGAGCCACAGAACTGAAGGACTGTCTCCCTGATAGGGATGGCTGAATGAAACCACTCAGAGTTAAGAACAGAAGTGGGAAAGTCAACCCTCCACTCCCAAGTGCCACAGAATGTATCCCAAACCAACAGAAATGTTTATTTTTTAAGAAAAAATTTAGGTGTGGATTTGGATTATTCTCACATTAGGCTCTCCTTTAGGATGGAAAATTGAATGCTAATTTATATTAACAGATTGGTTCTCAAATGGGGTGCTTCATGGAACTATTAAAAACTGAAGATGTCCAGGCTTCATTCCAAGCATGCTAAGTCAGAAACAGCAGTGTAGGGGCACCTGGGGGCTCCGTCGGTTAAGCATCTGACTCCTGATTTTGGCTCAGGTCAGATCTCACAGTTTGTCAGTTTGAGCCCCAGGTTGGGCTCTGCACGGACAGTGTGGAGCCTGCTTGGGACTCTCTCTCTCCCCCTCTCTCTCTCCCAATAAATAAATAAACATGAAAAAATAAAAAAAGGAACCAGCAGTGTATACTATTTTTCCTCAGAGCTAGCCTCCAGCTCCATTTTCCCAAATCCCCAAATCTCTAAGACCATTTAGCCTCCCACTTTTCCAGTTTAAGTAAAGGCAATGCCTTTTCATTTGTGCTTCAGTAGAAAACAGTGTTATTTTACAACTCTAAATTGTAGATAATCAATAGCAATGCGAAAAAAAAAGTTTTACCTTTGGACATGCAAATTCTATTTTGTCTGGTAGAGGTTCAACCGATTTTCCTTTTGCTCTTTGCAAGCAATCGTTATTGCCTCCTTTGTACACCTGTTTCACGATTCCTGATCTATACCGGGTGTGTTTTTCAGATTTTCTTTTGAACCTGTTGTAACACCTGCCTGACTCCCTTCATGACTACTGGGTTAAATAAAAGGTTTAGCATGTGTCCATTTATATCTGAATGAGAGTTGTGATCTTACCTTTTGTGGGAAATTTCTCTGTAACACACCAATGGTGAGTACTTTGCTTTTCTATACTCCTTGGCCACCTGCTACTAGTGCTCTTTGCTTTGGTTGAACATTCCACACTCAGAAGAGGGCTCCTGTCCTTGTAACCTTCTACTGTATGCATAGTATCTGTCCACGGGTTCCTGGAAGAAGGTAGAAGAATCAAAAGACTTTATATTGATATTTTATTCACCAACAACTGGCAGGTGACAGTGGCTGTTCAGCTAGTCCCAGCTGGGGCTAACAGCCAGAACACCCACACGCGCGGCTTTTTCACATAGCCTGAGATTCCTCACATTACTGTGACTGGGGTCCAAGATGGAGCATTCTCAGAGACAGCAAGAAGGAAGCTGTGTTGCCTTTTATGACAGGACTCAGAAGCCATTCTGTCTCTTTCGCCAGATTCTCTTCAGGGCCAGCTTCACAGGATGTGACCTGTCCAGTTACCTGTGCAGTTACCCAGAGTCCCATGCTTAGAACAGCCCCACACTTAGTTTAATACTCTGTTGTCACCATCTTGAAATTCCTAATAATTATTTAAACAAAGGGCCCCACAAATTTTGCAGCCAGCCCTGAATATCTTTGTGCAGGCAAATCATAAAGTCCTGCCCGGCTCACAGGGTGGCGATCGAGACTCCCGGTCTTGAGGAGGCACGGTTTTGGAAGAGTATGTGGGGCTGGGAACACCGCTGTGGCCTTTTTTAGCAAAGGGAATCTGCTACAGATGGTTTGTGGAGAAGTTAAGGCACATAACCTGGAGCTCAGACTTTCCTCCATGGCCTCCCACAAAGACATATCTGGGTCCTCCTTGCTCCACAAAGCATCCTAACAAGAATAAACAAGCAAATGCATCTACCCATCTGTCTATTCAGCAAATTCTGACTGAGCACATAATGTGAAGCATTTACAGATCATCTTAGAGACCCTGCCCTTAGCAGGCTTGGTGTTCAGAGTGATGGTGTCTATGAAGGGAGAAGAGAAAGCAAAGGGTGAAGCACTGTTTAAAAAGAGAAAACAAGCTTGGAACAACTGGGTGGCACAGTAGATTAAGTGTCTAACTTCAGCTCAGGGCGTGGCTCACAGTTTGTGAGTTCAAGACCCGCATCAGGTTCTCTGCTGTCAGCACAGAGCTTGCTTCAGATCCTCTGTCTCCCTCTCTCTCTACCCCTCCCCCACTCATTCTCTCTTCCCCCAAAATAAATAAAAACATTTTAAAAGAGAGAGAGAGCAAACAAGCCCCAAATGGAGTCATTTGCCCCTCAGCAAACCAGTGAGTAGTAGATCAAGGTAAAAATACAAACAAAACAAAAACAAGGGAAATAAAAAGGTGAGCTGGTGAGGGGGTTTGTTTATTCAAAGAGAAGGTTCCAGAGCCCCAGAGGGAAGTTCCGAGAGAGGCAGCACTTTGCTACTTGAGCCATCCTGTGTCTGCTCGTTCACCAGGCCTCCTGTATAGCCACAGTTGTGCTGGCTCAGAACAGGGTGTTGTTCAAATACCTGTGGGAGGCCCTAGGATGTGGCCCACAGGGCTTCCGTGGGCTGACATGTGGTAGGCAGGCCTGTGACGTCACCCTCCTGGGTTTCCTTCTCCCTCACTCAGCATTTCTTAATCCTTTTAGTGTTAGCTCTAAATGTCAGATTTCCCAGAGGCTCTGCACAAGGCCTTCCTCTGTGTTCTAACACCCTCCCTCCTCAGGTGAGTGCTTTTACTCCCCACACTCTCCCTGCTCCACACTCATTCACCTATTCCTTTGCAACTGAACACCTTGATGAATCACAGCCACCTCAAATTTAGCATGTCCCAAATGGAACTCTCCACTTTTCTCCACATCTTGTTCTGTCCAGTCTTCTCCTTTCAGTAAATGGCTGCCTCCACCACCCAGTCACTCCTCACTTGACTTCACTCCCCTGCATCCAATCCATCCTGTAAGTTCTTCCTCCAAACCACAACCCGGATCTGAGCACTTCTCCCCAGCAACGGAGTCACCATCACCCATCAGATTGCTTTGGTAGCTTCTTTTTCTTCTTTTTCAAAAACGTTTCTTTATTTATTATGAGAGAGAGAAAGAGTGTGAGCAGGGGAGGGGCAGTGAGAGAGAAGGAGAGAGAGGATCCCAAGCAGGGTCCATGCTGTCAGCATGGAGCACAACCTGGGGCTCTATCTCAGGAACCTGAGAGATCATGACCTGAGAACAAAACCAAGAGTCGAATGCTTACCCGACTGAATCACCCAGGTACCCCTGCTTTGGTAGCTTCTTAATTCATCTCTTGCCTCTACCCTTGGCCTCCTGTAATCCACAATCTATACAAAAGCCAGAGTAGTACTGTAAAACCATAAATCAGAGCAAGTCGTTCTCTTGCTCAAAACCATTCAATGTTTGGAGCACCTGGGTGGCTCAGTCGGCTAAGCGTCCGACTTCGGCTCAGGGCATGATCTCACGGTTCGTGGGTTCGAGCCCCGCGGCGGGCTCTGTGCTGACAGCTAGCTCAGAGCTTGGAGCCTGTTTCGGATTCTGTGTCTCCCTCTCTCTCTGACCCTCCCTGCTCATGCTGTCTCTCTCTCAGAAATAAATAAAAACACTTTTAAAAAATCCAGTATTTTCCTATTTCAGAATGAAAATGCAGATTCTTCACCATGGAGACCCTACACCACCTGCCTGCTCCACCTCTAAGGCTCATTCCATTCCCTCCCACTCCCCTTGCAGAAACCTTCTCCAGCTCTCTGCATTACTCAGCTTCTCTTTCTCGAACATTCTCTCGGCTATTCTGCCTCCTTCTCATCCAGGACTGAACTCAAAGGTCCCTTCTCGGACCTGCAGAAAGAAACCTGCCCTCCTCCCTCCTTGTTAAATTTTAGACATTGTCTTCCTTCTTCCGCTAGTGCCCTTTCTTTTCCCGCACACGCCAGAAAGGAAGCGCAGTGCAATCAGAGTTTGCCACTGTATCTCCAGGGCCGCTCGAGTAGGTGCTCACACGTATTTGTCTAAAGGATTCATTAAGAGACGGCAATTTTATGTTTTTAAATATCCGCACTTGGGAAAAGAAAAAAACTGCCTCTTTCGTGTAGATTAGTGATTTTAAAAAATGTTTATAAGTCCAGGACTATTGCAGTAGAGGAAATGTCGTCAAGCCTCCCCGAATACAGCTGTAAGGATAGCAGGAGAGGGAGAGTGGAGGGGAAGACGGCTGGGTGGCTGGAGGGCCAGAAAAATGGGTGAGCGAGCAGATGGGCATGCTCCGGCCACGCACACCCACGGGGCTGAGAAAGTCGGAACTCACTTCCCTATGCCACCCACCTTTCGGGGTCACGGAGAGGATATGCCAAAGAACGACGAGGGGTGGTGGGCCTCTGCTCTGGGCGCAGAGCAGCGCGTCACCCCCGCCCCCCACACAAGCCCCAGCCCAGCACGCGCTTCCCGCTTCTCGCGCGCCCAGCCGCGCCCCTTCCCAGCAGCGCCCCCAGGTGCGCGCCCCCGCGCCCGCCGCGCAGCTAGTGCGCGTGCGCGCAGGTGAGCGTCCCGCCCCGCCCCCGGGCTTGGGCACCTGCCCGGGAAACTTGCGGTGGGTTGTTGCCCTCGGGTCGCTCGGGGCGGAGACACGGAACCGGGCCATGGAAGGTATGTCGGGGGCTCGTGAGCCCCGTGCACGACCGAGAGAGCGGGACCCAGACCGGCACCCCCGCCCGGAGCGAGACCGCCACCCCGAGCGACAGCGGGACAGACACAGGGACCGGAGCAGGGAGAGAAACGGGGGCGAGCGCAGGGACGGAGACCGGGACAGGGGGAGGCACCGAGACCCCCGCCACGACAGATACAGGGTCGAGGACCTTCGCGAGGGTGAACAAAGAGTTTGGGAAAAGTCCCGCCAGAGCCGGACACGGGACGGACCCCGCAGGCCGACCTGGGACCCAGCCCCGCCCCCCTGGCCCGCGCCTTGGGAAACCCCGGAGCCGCCACTCCCGAGGAAGGAGCGCTTCGGGCACCATGACCCGGCAAGGTAAGGTGTGGCTGCGGGGCGCTCTGAGACCTGGGCACCCAGGAAGCCTGGGTCTGAGGCCTGTCTGCGCTGCTCCGGCGCCCGCGGCTTCGTGGCCTAAGAAGCCAGCTTAAAGAAAGTGCCATTCCTCCCTTTTGCGCTCCTAGAGGTAACTGGGGGGCGGGGGGGGGGTGGAACCTTACAGTGCCCCCACTTCTTGATCCGAACCTGATTAACAAAGTAGAAACCACTCCTGTTAGTGGCAGGGCCGGGGACCAGGTGAGGAGGAAGAGAGGACTTCAGGACAGGAAAGGGAAGGGGTGGGAAGGAGATTAGGTAGGTGGTGTTAATGTGAGGCTCCTCCCTGATGTCATGTCCCCTCCTCCCCCAGCCAGGGACATGTACAGGACTGCCCCTTGGGACTTCAGACCCTTAGACTCTTGTCCTATGTTCCAAAGCCAACCCACTTCAAAGTCCCAGTGCCAGGGGCTAATTAAAGTCAGCCCAGTGAAGATTAATAGTTTAATCTGCAGCTTCTAGCGTTTCAAAACAGACAGCTGGGGGAAGCTATGCTTTTAGCCAAATAACTAAATCTCCCCACTTAAAGGCAGAGATTTCCCTACCTTTATCAGTGCAGTCTTCCTGGGCAGCCTCATTCAAATCCCAAGATTGTTTCAGATCCCACCGGCCTGAATGAACACCGTGTGCCATCCTCGCCTGGGAGAGCACAGAGAATTCCCTTATGGGCCGTGTGAGGTGATCGCACCATGCGACTTAGTGAGCTGAGAGAGGGTAAAGCTCGAAGGGAGGAGAGGAGGCAGTCCTAGACTCCCACACCTCCTTCTAGGGAGTTGATCTTTTTTCCCTCAAACATTCCATCCAACTCCACAAATATTACTGAATGCCAGATTATGTGCGAGGCCAACAAGGAGATGGGTAGTGGAGCGATGGCTGCTTTCTGGGTTTTGACACCTGCCCTCTTCGCTAAGGAGGAGTCTGGTTCCTCTCTACTGTAGGATTTGGAGGCTTAAGCCCGGTCTCCCTCCCTGTTGTGTCCACACAGCAGGAAAGCTGTTATCCTGAGCTTATGTTACATTATCTAAAACCAATTAGCCAAGATATGAAAAAGGGTGTGCCCAGATACAGTCACAGGCACTAGTTATTGTTCATCCCTGACCAAAGCCATATTGCCTTGGACGCTCTCCAGAGCTACATTTTGGATTGTTTCCCAGCCACCCACCCAGTTTCCCAGCTGTCCACCCCAATGCAAGCGAGTGAATATTTTTGTTTTTTTGGCTCATGGACAGTTGGTGGTTTGAACCAAAGGGCAATCTATTTCCACCTTTCCTCTACACAGTAAGCTTTTATTTAATTGGCAGGATGTAGGAGCTGGGGCTCCATTACTTAATGGGTGAGATATACTGACAGTGTCCACAGTCTGGTAGGAGACTGACAGGTAAATGGGCCGGTTGCAGCACAATGTGAATGTGCCACTGCAGGGGAAGCCAGTTTGGAGAGAACAGATCCCCTGCCTAAGATCTGGAAGACTTCTTAGAGGACATTGACCTCAAAGCTGAGTTCTGGAAAAGGGGCAAGAATGGGAAGACAGGGAAAGGAAGATGAAAGTGGTTTCAAGCAGAGAAATAGCTTTCATAGTGACCTAGAGCATGGGAATGCAGGTCATCTTTTTGGGCCTTGGGAATAGGGTGTTGGGGGTGGAGAAGGGAAGTTCATTATGGCTGGGTCTGTGACTATGAGGTTGTGAGTGAAGAGAGAAGAGCAAGGGCCCCTGTATTGGGCTAAAGGTTTGGACTTTATCCAAGGCCATAAGAGTTTAAGGATTTCAAACCTAAGAGATCTATGATGAGAACACTAGAAGGATCCCTGGAGCTGAGCAGGTAGAATGCAGCCCCCACTATTGCTTCTTGGACAAAGCTCAGGATATGTTGGATAAAGGAGTAAAAGAAAAAAAGTGCCAGAAGTAGCAGAGAAGAGAGAGAGAGAGAGAGAGAGAGAGAGAGATGAAGACATCCAAAGTTGTCTGTATTACCCATATACTTAGAGAGTTATTACAGACTCAGCTCTTTCCAAAATAACAAGACAAAGAAGAGAATGCCAACCTGGGCATCAGAGTCTTGTGAATGCAGACTAACTTGTTTTTGTAATGTTTATTAATTTTTGAGAGAGACAGACAGACAGAGCATGAGTTGGGGAGGGGCAGCGAGGGGATGATACAGAATCTAAAGCAGGTTTCAGGCCGTCAGCACAGATCCCGATGCAGAGCTCAAACTTACAAGCCATGAGATGATGACCTGAGCTGAAGTCAGATACTTAACCAACTGAGCCACCCAGGCTCCCTGAATGTAAACTAGTTTTAAATAAGGCCTGGTCTGTGCTGACTGAAATCCTAGGCTCATAAAAGTGGCTCTCACCTACCTGGTTCAATAGCTCCCGCAGGTGGACAAACTAGCAACAAATCAGTGCTCAGAATTTTAGAGATACGTGATGTGGTGGCTTAACAGGGTTGGGCCAAGTGTTTGGATACTCTGTGGGGCCACCAAACCAGAGAATTCTCGGAAATATGAAGTGCTGCAGCAAATTATGTTTCTGTTCTGCCCATCTCTTTAATGTCTGGGCCTAGCATGAGATGTTCAGTGTTCTAATACTGAACCAGCTCTTGAATTTGAAGCCCCTAATGGCCATGTATGTTTTTGGTTATAGTGAACCCACTTCGGGGAGATACCTGCCCTCGAACCCCAGGTCTGGACAAGAGGGAGTGGAATATTACCAGTCAGAGGCTGAAGGACTCCTGGAATGTCATAAATGCAAATACTTGTGCACTGGGAGAGGTGAGCCGTTTGGGAGGCATTTTGACCATTTACTGTTTGCTGATGGTTTTTGAAGGGATCTGAGATGGCGAAGCAAAAATTCAAGCAGACTTCCCTTTTGAGTCCCTAGCATTCTCATTTCCATAACTGCATGAGGTTCTCATCCCCACCCCATCCCCTCAAAAGGGTAGGAATGTCTGAAAGGTACAGCTAGATTTCCAGTGCTTCTCTTCAGACGTGCCCTGGGGTCTGGCAAGGCAAGCAGCCATGCTCGCAGGTTTCTGGCTTCAGAGGTGGAAGAACAGCAGGCAGAACCAGCTGTGAGCTGCCAGCTGTGGGAGTTAGCCACCTGTAGAGGGCAGCCTGGTAGCAGTTCATGTCACAGGACGGTTTTAAAAATTTGTTGACTGAGGTCCATAGTAAGAAATATATTTTACATTAAGGCCAAGTTCACACACACACACAGACATTGTGAAACCATACTTACCTTATTATATACCAAGCACATGGGTAGTTTCCATTGTACTCTAGTTCTTTGTTTAAAAAAAAAAAATTAAAAAATATTTACTTATTTTTGAGAAAGAGAGAGAGAAAGCATGAATGGGGGTGGGGCAGAGAGAGAGAGGGAAACAGAATCTGAAGCAGGCTCCAGGCTCCAAGCTATCAGCACCAAGCCCAATGCACAGCTTGAACCCACAAACTGCAAGTTCATGACCTGAGCTAAAGCCAAACACTTAACCAACTGAGCCACCCAGATGCCCCTATTGTACTCTGTTTCATTGAGAACAGAAACAAAAACCGCAGTTATTAGAACACACAGTTTGTAAAAACACTTAAATCATAGCATGTGTCAGCTCCAAATGTGGTTCCTAGAGTTCCCATCCGAGCATGAGTCCTTGGCCTTGCCAGCAATGAAGAAAATCTGGTTTACCAGGGCGAGCCCAAATCACATGATTTGATGAGAAATTTTTCTAAGCTGCATATGACTAAGGGGGAAATCTTCCCAGCCTAAGGGAGAGAAATCAGGGAACCTGTACCTGAAAATGTATTATAGGATCATTCCAATGATGCACATGATTGTGGGATTCTATGGAACTTTCGTGAAAGAGCTCTAGGCAATCCAGGCACAAGAATCTGCACTCTAGGTCACATATATTGGCACAACCTCACTGCTTCTAATTCGCTTAGTAACTCCTGAGGCTCAGAGAGCTCAGCCGTTAAGTGGAAGATCCGGAATTGAAACTTAAAGTCTAACTCCAAGACCTAAAATGGTTTACTCGCTTGACCTTTCTTTTCTTCTTGCTGATAAAAATAATAGGACTAAGCAAGAGGCTGGTTAACAGGTTTCTCAGTAGAAGTATGTTTTTCTCTGTGATTATTTTACTAAGAGGAAAGGACAGGACTTGGAGCTGCTGACCTAAATGTACCTTGATTTAGCTCAGACTGCTTCTGGCTATTTGGGTTTGGGCCTAGAGGTTGTTTCTGAGTCAAGATAGTGAAAGGATGGTTCAGCAGTCAGAAGCTAACCATCGGGGGGCTTAAAAAGAACTCTGGATGTGCAGAAACCCACATCAGTACTCAATACTTGGTGTTGTGTTGAAACAGCCTTTAAATATAGGAACTTGTCTCCAGCAGGAAATGCATTCCTGGATAAAGGTCACCTGAGATTTTCAGCCCCGTCTTCGTGTAGATCTTTTGTGACTTCCTCATCGGTGAAGTCATGTCCTCTTCCAGCAAACTGGTGGAAGGGGGAGGCAGCTGTGGCCCTCTCTGACTTCTTAGGGAGACCTAGGAGTTTGGTCTGTGAGCCATGCTTTGGAAGAGTTCAGCAGAACAGTCAGGACACTGATGGAAAGAGCGGGGTCCCACATTCACTTATGAGCAAGTCCCCTCAGATGTTAAAATCTTCAGGGGCTGAGACTGAAGATCAGATAAAAAGCAAGTACAAATATCCCCGCGTGCATCTCAGATCCCCAATGCATGTGCAGGTACAGGTTATGCTCATTTATTATCTGGAGGGATGGGTGAGGAGTTACAAGTTCCCAGGGAAGAAGGTGCATTTCCTGCTCCCCATCTTGGCTCCTAATTTGTTTGGAGCAGTTTCTTTTTTGCCTTTGTTCTTTCTCTCTCCCCTTCGACCTGTAGTGCTCCAATTATGATGTTTGTATTCAGGTTAATTGAACATCTCCCTCAGCCCTGCTTATTCTTTTCTGGTTCTATAAAATTGAAAATAAGAATAAGGAGAGGTGCCTGGGTGGCTCAATTGGTTGAGTGTCTGACTCTTGATTTTGGTTTAGGTCATGATCCTAGGGTCATGGGATCGAGCCCAGGGTTTTGGGATCGAGCCCCTTCTTAGGTCTTGCACTAAGCATGGAGGCTGCTCTCTGGGGCACCTGAGTGGCTCGGTTGGTTATGCGTCTGACTTGGTTTTGCCTCAGATCATGATCTCATGGTTTGTGGCTTTGGGCCCCACATCAGGCTTTGTGCTGATAGCGCAGAGCCTGCTTGGGATCCTCTCTTTTCCCTCTCTCTCTGCCCCTCCCCTGCTCATGCTCTCTCTCTCAAAATATTTTTTTTAATGTTTATTCATTTCTGAGAGAGACAGAAACAGAGTGTGAGCAGGGGAAGGGCAGAGAGAGAGGGAAACACAAAATATGAAGGAAGCTCCAGGCTCTGAGCTGTCAGCACAGAGCCCAACGCAGAACTTGAACCCGTGGACCACAAGATCATGACCTGAGCTGAAGTCAGATGCTTAACCAACTGACTTACCCAGGTGCCCCTCCCCAACCAAAAAAAAAAATTTTTTTTTCTCCCTCTGCCCCTCTCCCCAGCTTGTGCTTGCTCTCTTTCACAAAATAAAAATAAAAAGTAAAACCTATAAAATAGGAATAAGAGGCTTGTAGGGTTTCTGCTCTCCCTACACTGTATTAAGAAATATACATATTTGTTCCCATACAGCAAAGACACTGGGAAAACCCTAAATGTTCTTTACATTGGAATTATTTAAACTCCTTGTGGTGTTCTATGCATCCTTTAAAAATATGAAGTATATCGATTTATATTTGCTGAGATAGAAAAAAGTGTTCACACTGTATTCATAACTGAAAAAAAATAGGTTAAACAATAGTAGAGTAGGACTTGTTTTTCACCCAAAAGCAAAAATTATGTATATATGACAGAAAAGTCCAGAAGAAAAAGTAATGGTCACAGTGGTTATTTTTTTAATTGGTTGGATTTTAGATAACTTTTACATTACATGTTTCTGTCTATATTTTATTTTTTTACAATTAGTATTTTATAATTAGAGAAAACAATAATGCTGTCTTCATTTTGGGGGGAAATTGAAGAGTGTAAAGATGATACTTGAGAGTTAATCATTTCTGTTAGAGAATGTGCAGATGTAACACAGCTTCATACATAGACCAGCTGGACCCAGGCACAAAATCTGGTTCTCCAAACACCGGGAGCTGCTGACAGTCTACTCCAAGTCAGCTGACCTATTATAACCATTCAGGATATGGAATTTTAAGCTCAGAAACACTCAGCTTTATAGAATCCTGAGAAAAAGAAGCCAATACACACAACTGTATGATTCCATTTATATGAAATTCTAAAGGGACACATGGGTGGCTCAGTTGGTTGAGCATCCAACTCTTGATTTTGGCTCAGGTCATGATCTCCTGGTTCGTGGGATTGAGCCCCACATTGGGCTCTGTGCTGCCAGTGCTCAGCCAGCTTGGGATTCTCTCTCTCCCTCTCTCTGTACCTTCCCTGCTCATTTTCTTTCAAAATAAATAAATAAACTTAAAAAAAAAACCTCTAGGGGCACCTGGGTGGCTCAGTCGGTTAAGTGTTCAACTTCGGCTTAGGTCACGATCTCATGGTTCATGGGTTCAAGCCCCATGTAAGGCTCTGTGCTGACAGCTAGCTCAGAGCCTGGAGACTGTTTCAGATTCTGTGTCTCCCTCTTTCTCTGACCTTCCCCTACTCATGCTCGCTCGCTCTCTCTCTCAGAAATAAAGCATTAAAAAAATTTTTTTAATAAATAAATAAATAAATATTTTAAAAAATTCTAGAAAGGCCAATCTACTAATTCCTAATGGCAGAAAGCAGATCAGTGGGTGTCTGATGAGGAGGGTGAAGGACTGATCACAGTCTCTCGGGAACTTTCTGGGCAGATGAAAACATTCTGAATCTTGACTCAGATTGCGTGGCATATGTGTTTGTCAAAACTCAACAAGCTATACATTTAATATGGGTCATTTTCTTCCATGTCAGTTATATCTCAACAAGGTGGGTCTTAAGGAAAGCAGGCAACTTTGGTGGAAAAGCTGGTGCTCTTTCCTTGTTCAAGACTAAGAAGCCAAGGGCCCTGAGAGAATCCAGTCCTAAGAAAAATACCACAGCCCAAATTTGCTCTTTAAGGAAACTAAAGAAAACAGTTAAACTTTAAAACAAACTTACTGGGTGCCTAGGTGGCTCAGTCAGCTAAGCAGCCGACTTCAGCTCAAGTTATGATCTCACAGTTCATGGGTTCGAGCCCTGCATCAGACTCCGTGCTGACAGCTAGCTGAGAGCCTGGAGCCTGCTTCAGATTCTGTGTCTCCCTCTCTCTCTGACCCTCACCCACTCACACACTCTCTTTCTCTCTCTCTCAAAATAAACATTAAAAAATTTTTAAAAATAAAATAAAACATACTTACTGAGTTGAAATGTAAGAACAGTGAAACCCATTACATTTCTTTAATTCAGGAAGCCTTGTGGGTTTAATTGACCTAATCTTTCCTGTTTCTAGTATATGTGAACCACAGTTGACATTTTGATATATAACTTCCATGCCTTTTTCTGACTTCATGGTATTTTTTAAGCTCTGCATTATTTCCTTCAAACTTGGAGAGGTTTCCTCTTTCAAAATGAAGAAAGCCACAAAACAGATCTAAAGAGGAGACAACTATTTTTTAGTCTGCTTCGCAGGGAAGTTGTGGGGTGGGAGAACGTTCCTGCGTTCTATCAAGGATGCCTTTCTTTCTGGTTGGTAACTGGCCTGATTTCTCCCACTCTCTTTCTGCACCCCACCACGGACAAGCTGTTTTGAGAGTTACTGTCTCTAGCCCAGAGTACCTCCAGCACCATTTCTGGAGCCCACAGTCACACGCTACCATCTAATGCGCATCACGTGGCTTTGGCTGATCGGGCCTCCCTGGGTGGTGGTGCTGGGGGCGTGTGTGAGGAATAAAGAGCCTGCTGCAGCGCGGGCCCTGCCGGGAAGATGAGCAGCAGGGTGCAAGTCTCTAAGTCTGAAACAGCACCTCTCAAAATGGTAACGCGCCCTTCTTTTGCAGCCTGCTGCCAGATGCTGGAGGTTCTCCTGAACTTGTTGATCCTGGCCTGCAGCTCTGTGTCTTACAGTTCCACAGGGGGCTACACAGGCATCACTAGCCTGGGGGGCATTTACTACTACCAGTTCGGAGGGGCTTACAGTGGTTTCGATGGCGCCGATGGGGAGAAAGCGCAGCAGCTGGACGTCCAGTTCTACCAGCTGAAGCTGCCCACGGTCACTGTAGCCATGGCCTGTGGCGGAGCCCTCATGGCCCTCGGCTGCCTCCTGGTTGTCCTGGGTGTCCTGCGGGTTCCGTGGCACTGCCCCCTGTGGCTGGTGATTGAAGGCTTGTTGGACATACTCATTGCTGGGGCCTATATCCCAGCTCTGTACTTCTATTTCCACCACCTCTCCACTGCCTACGCCTCTCCAGTGTGTAAAGAGAGGGAGGCGCTGTACCAAAGCAAAGGCTACAGTGGCTTCGGCTGCAGTTTCCATGGGGGAGACATAGGAGTTGGAATCTTTGCTGGGCTAGGCATTGGCGTCTTCACTCTGGGGGCTGTGCTGGCCATCAGGGGTTACCGAAAGGTCGGGAAGCTGAAAGAGAAGCCTGCGGAGATGGTGGAGTTTTAGGCTTTTTAAACCGTCCTGCCCAATGTAAGTGACAGTAGTGACTCTGAACCATTGGAATACTGGGATACTTCACTGTGGGACTCGCCAGCCCTTGAAGACTGATGGGCCAACTTTGGTATCCTGGTGAAACTCTGGGTTACATGGAGCCGTGTTCTCTGATGTACTATGCCCTGGTGGTAGAGTCCTCTCTTGGTGAGCGATGACCCACAATTATTGAAACAGAACAAAACTGGGGGTCGGGACCCACAAGGAAGAGCCATTTGCTGTAGCAGAAGGCGCTTTTGATTGACTAGAGGGAGGTGACCAAGTGAATCTGAAGAACCTTATCTTTAAAGTCCCTGAGAAGCCATATACACAGGAGACAGCATTTCAGCCTGAACTTTTCTAAACACAGCTGTCTTAAACAGACGAGCCCCGAAGTTCTTCCATACTGAGGCCTCCTATCCTAAATTTCCTTAATGCTCTGGGTGCAGGGTGTAGGGACGGATGGTGGAGAGACTCCGCCTACAAAAATTTAAGTTGGAGGTAGGCGTGGGCTGAGCAAAGAGGAATCAGATTAATTCACTATGATGCAAAGAAGCTATTCCAACAAGCCCCTTACAGTGGGCTTGAAAGCTCAATAAGTGTTTTGTACCTCTTGTAAATGTGCCATTGTATGAAGAATTCAACCCAACATCTGGAAGGCAGGAGCCATCCAGAATAAAAAAATGTAAAATCTTTCCCAACAGAAGAATGCCACTTTTGGCCAGACAACTTAATGGGTTCTCATTACATGTTAAATTATGGCTTCTGGAACATTACAATATATTCTTGGTACAAATGAATATGTTCTTTGCTTTACATGAACCCAATAAAAAATCCAAAAAACAATTTTAACTTGGAGGTGATGTCTGCTTGAGATTCTCTCTCTCCCTCTGCCCTTTCCTGGCTTGTGTGCACACAATCTGTCTCTCTCAAAAACAAACAAACAGGGGCGCCTGGGTGGCTCAGTCGGTTAGGCGTCCAACTTCGGCTCAGGTCATGATCTCACAGTTGTGGGTTTGAGCCCCACGTCAGGCTCAGTGCTGACAGCTAGCTCAGAGCCTGGAGCCTGTTTTGGATTCTGTGTCTCCCTCTCTCTCTCTGACCCTCCCTGTTCATGCTATGTCTCTCTCTCTCTCTCTCTCTCTCTCTCAGAAATAAACAAAACATTAAAAAAATTGAAAACAAAAACAACAAAAAAAACCCCCAAACAAACAAGAAAAGTGAGTCCCATTTGGGTTTAGAAACTGAAATATATGCTTATATATGATTAGGAAATTTCTTGAAGAGGGGCACCTGGGTGGCTCACCCAGTTAAGTGTCCAACTTTGGCTCAGGTCACAATCTCACAGTTTGTGGGTTCAAGCCCAGCGCTAGGCTCTGCGGGGACAGTAGTGAAGCCTCTGCTTCAGATTCTGTCTCCTCTCTGTCTGCCTCTTCCACTCATGCGCACGCGTTCTCTCTCTCTCTCTCAAACATAAATAAATAAACATTAAAAAAAAAAGAGAAAATTCCATGAAAAATGTACATAAGAAAGCTTTAGGAGAAATATTTGCTTCTGAAGAGAGGGAGATTTTATTTTTCATTTTATGCCTGGCTTGACTGCACGTTTCAGTTTTATTTTAAATAAATAAAAAAATTTGATTTGCTCTCCAGTTTTTTACGTTTACAGTGCAGAGGCAGAAAGAGATGTATAATTAAGCGGAATATTACATGATCAGCCACAAAACCAGCCTCACCCACAAAGACCCCATTTATAACAAAAATCTCATATCTGTTTCAGTCTCCACTTCCCTCTACAGAGCCCTCTGCTCTCTCTCCGGAGACTTGACCCATCCCACCATCCCGGCTCTGGCAGTCAGCCTTTTTTTTCTCTTCAAATGGCTATGAATCTTTCTGCACTAACAGCGAGGTTGAAAATACATGAGCCTGTTTGATATTAATAGCCAAGCCAGGCCAGACCTGGCTGGTACTATGATAATATTCCATGGCTATATTTCTTCAACAGACCCCATATCACTGGACCCAGCAACAGACCATTATTCCTCTCAACTGTTGTAGCCGGGGGGGTAATGGACAAGATTTAGATTTATTCCATGTCAGCCTAGCAGATACGTGCTGTGTGGATCTCAGCAGAGATAACTTTCTCCATCTGGTAGAAGGATGGTATTCCTGTTTTCCTTCAGGGGGAGAGATGTTAACACACGTGCACAAGGAAAACCAAGGCAGAGAGAGTTGGTAGATACAGGGGATAACTACTCCCCCTGAATTAGAATGATGTTTGGGCTAATTCACTTGCTCTGCTAGAGCGAGCAAGTGGCCAGTAGTTCATGGCGCCTGGGTGGAGAGTGGGCAGTTCTGATCTGATGTTATCTTAAGATTTAAATTAGAGGAATGTAGCTTCTCAACCATTAGAGCCTTTGGCTGCTGTGTTCCGTGGAGCTCCTAGGAATTCGTGTGGGCCCTGCAGGAGTTAGGGTCAGCAAGCTCAGTAGCTGGTGCCTATGTATGTTAGAGAAGCTGGTATTTAGCTGCTCAGTGTTTTGTTTGTTTTTTAAGAGTGAGAGAGAGAGAGAGAGAGCTAGCAAGCAAGCCAGGGAGGGGCAGAAAGGGAGAGTGGGAGGGAGAGGGAGAGAGAGAGAGAGCGCGCGCAAGCCAGGGAGGGGCAGAGAGAAAGAGAGAGAGTGAAGAAAAGAGACAGAGCAGGCTTCGCACTGTCAACACAGAACCCAATGTAGGGCTTGATCCCGAGACCATGACCTGAGCCAAAATCAAGAATCAGATACTGGGGCACCTGGGTGGCTCAGTCGTTAAGAGTCTGACTCTCGGTTTCTGCTCAGGTCATGATCTCAAGGTTCGTGAATTTAAGCCCCATGTCAGGCTCTGTGCTGACAGTGTGGAGCCTACTTGGGATTCTCCTCCCCCCCCGCCCCTCCCGTTTGCTCTCTCTCTCTCTCTCTAAACAAACAAACAAACAAACAAACAAACTTTAAAGTCAGATGTTTGACTGAGCCACCCAGGTACCCCCAGCTGCCCAGTTTTTAAACACCGTGGTACTGTTATCTAGTGTATTAGAGAGGTTTCCTGATTTGGGGGAAACCACACTTGTCCAATTTCTTAAATCTCTAAGTCCCTCCCAACATTTTATGATTTTCCAAGTATTTTCATGTACTTGATTTCGTCAAATCTCATCCCTGCCCTGGGGGATAAGACAGGCAAGCAGTTCTCATTTGTCAGATGAAGTGTGTGAGGCTTCGAGTCAGCAACTGGGGCAAGATCACCAGCAGTGAAGTGTGGGGACATGAAGCTGACATTCCCACTGGAGGAGTCATGTGCCTTCCTCTTAGTTCTCATCTCTGAACCCTGGAGAATGACAGGAGACATTCTCCCACAAGTACACCTAAGCAGAGGCTGTGGCCCTTGACCATGATGAATGAAAGCTGACCTTGGACAAGAAGATATTCAGTCTCCATTCACCTGTTGATTCCTCCTACTTTGCAGCATTTGTGAATTTCTTAAACTCAAAAGAATCCCCCAAGTGAACAACCCATGTCTCCATCAGTTGCATAGACTGGTCCATAGTGGCTTTGGAGGCCATATAACAAAGTATGTGGACACTGTAGGAGCTGATTTGAAGACATCTCCAGGAATAGTTAAATGAATAAAACAAGACTCAGAGCAAAGTGAGGAATGCTTCTCTGTGGAAAAAAAGCGGGATGGGGTGATGAAATGCTGATTTGAGTGTGCTTCTGTTTGCATAAAGAACACTGGAAAATTACATCAGGAAATAATGAAAGTGGTTGGGGGTTGAGAACAGGGTGGACAGGGACATGAGTGATTTTTTCCCCCAGTTTGTACCTTTTAACATCATTTTTAGTTTAAAAAAAACTTTAAGATTTGCAATAATTATAGATTCACAAAATGTTACAAAACCAGTACAGAGAACTTGAGTACCCCTAACCCAGTTTTCCACAATGGCCACATCTTGCATAAGCATTAGTGTGACACTGCATCTGGGCACTGACAGTCTCTGGAGCTCATTTAGACCTCACCAGTTTTACATGCACTCACATGGTTTTGTCACGTGTACATACATGTGGCCACCACTGCTGTCAACTACAGAACTCTTCCATCATCAGGCATCCCTAGGGCCTCCCCCCTTATGGTCACAACACAGCCCCTCTCCACTTGCTCCCTTCCCCCGACAGCCATGGGTCTATGCTCTGTCTCCATAATTTTGTCATTTTGAGACTGTTACATAAATGGAATCATACAGTGTGTAACCTTAGAGACTGGCTTTCTTCTCCTTATCATAATTCCATTGAGATGCATCCAAGTTGTTGCGTGTATCAGTGTAGTTGATGCTGAACAGTTCTCTTAACTGCTGAGTAGTTTTCCATGGTATGGATGTACCTGATTAACTGCTCACCCACTGAGGGACATTTGGGTTTCGGATACTAGGCTATTACAAATAAAGCTACCGTGAACTTTCGTGTGCACAGTACTTTTAAGTTTTTGTTTCTTTCGGATGAATGCTCCCAGAGTACAGCTGCAGGGTCACCTGGTAAGTATATGTTTAGTTTTTTAAGAAACTGACAAAATTTTTTTCCCGACTGGCATTTTGTTTTTCAAACATATGACTATTAAAAACAAAAACCATGGATGTTAATGTTAAATCCGACCGTGTCCTTAAATTCAGGGCATCGGTGGTACTTCTCTAGTCTGACCTTCCGTTTTCCTGGGTGTGAGTGATGTCAGTGTTAAATCCCGAATCTCTCTCCTCCTAGGTGTGGTACAGATAGTGGAGGTGATACTGAATGGGATGGTTCTCATGTGTATCGTGGCCTCCTACTTTGTCCTTGCTGGATTCAGTGCCAGCTTCACCACTGGTGGCGGCTTTGGGAACAACTATTACTCACCCTTTGAGGGCACTGAGCTGGAGCAGGTTCGGCAGCTGGACCAGCAGTACACAGTCCTCCGGGCACCCCTGATATATGGTGGCGTGGCTGTTTCTCTGGGGCTGGGTGTCCTTACTATGGGTGTTTTACTCCAAGGAGCCAAAAGTCTAACCAAATTGTTGCCGACGTGGCTCCTGCTGGAGGTCGCCTTCAGCCTCCTGGCGGCAGTGAGCTACTGCGTAGGCATCGGCATTTACCTCCACGTAGCCTTGCGGATCAATTCCACAGACACTTGCACAGCAAGAGCACGGCTCTATGCCCGCAAGGGCCTCACCTGGATGAACTGCCAGCTGGCAGGCACTGATGGGGCAGCAGCCACCTTTGCTTGTCTTCTGGTGATCATGTACGGCGCCAGCGTGGTGCTGGCCCTGCGGAGCTACTGGGAACAGAAGCACTACAAAGACAGCCAAGCACAGGACAGAAATTACAACGACGCGCCAGAATACCTGTGGTCAGGAACGCTCTGAGACCTCTTTTGGAACCTCACTGGCACCCCACCTCCCTTGTTTCCCTCAAAACGATGTGTCCTTTAAAGTGGCACATGACACAACTATGGTCTTCACATACTTGATTTTACAAATGTTCCCTTTGGTACCAGTGCAAAGCTAGATGATCATTGCATTTTTTTTTTTTTTTTTTTTTTTAAATCAGTAAGTCTTTGTTGGCTGAGAGCAAAGATGTCTCCATCTTTGCAACAAAGAGCAACATGAGAAGTCTGGGGATGCCCTTATGGTGGGGCTCTCTTACCACATGGTGATGTAATCATAATAGCTAGATAGCCAGAAAAATTATGAAAGAGATGAGAATCATACATCCAGAGTAGCAGGTCCAGTGTTACAGTAGAAATATCTTCCCATCATAAC